AGAGAGAGAGAGAGAGAGAGAGAGAGAGAGAGAGAGAGAGAGAGAGAGAGAGAGGAGCAGATCAGAAGTCAGGCTCGCATGCAGGAGAGCATGTATGGATGGCTAGCTGACTGGAGGACACAGGTAGCTCAAGTGGGTATGTGAGACCACAACTGTGGAGGAGTGAATCACAGAAGCTTACGCAGGCATAGGCCTCAAAGAAGGTAGAACAATATTATAAACTCATTCTAGAGACTACAACTTACAGATGGGCTGGCACCGTTCGTAATGAAGATGTGATCAGGATTGCAAGGATACCCATCACGCCTCTGAATGCCAGCAGCAATATCTTCACGGCAAACTGCATGGCCCTGTTCAACGATACACAAGTCATCAGTCAAAGGCAGAATAGGTTTTACCAGGGGAGTCATGCGGCAATGACCAATTAACATCTCTGTCCAACTAAGCAGAAGACATTCAGACAGCGTTGTTGAACCCTTTTTTTTCACGATTTGGATGAAAAATGACTGTGTGAAGAAAGAATAAAACATGGAAGGCAGTCAAACGAGAATAACGCTAACACACACGGCTTTGCATTGAACGAGAATTCATCATTTCAATTTGTCCGGTTCATTCCAAGTTATGCTGACATTGAAATCAGCAAAATGGATGTGGACATGACAAGTGGATAATATTTTTTCCCTCCTCAGTGAAATGAAAGACCTGTGTTCTAACAATGGTGCCCAAATACAAACATTTGTCAATGTTTGTGCTGGCTCTCATTCGTGAACCATCAGCAGCATCTCAGCTTGAACCTCACAAGCACGGACGATTTAGAAACTAAAACCCTATTCCCAAACATTGAATGGGTTGATCTGAAATCCGTAGAAGAAAACACACACCTAACATACATAATTGTTACGATCCTCGTCATTCCCAAAGTGCAAATTCACAACGAAAGACAATGCCACCCAATTGCGAAAGAAATGAAAGCACTTGCAAAGAGATAGAGACCAGAGGAGAGAGAAAGAAGAAGAAGAAGAAGAAGAAGAAGAAGAAGAAGAAGAAGAAGAAGTACACCAGCAAGACCAATGACAATTCCCCCTTCTCTCTCCCCCTTCTGAAACGGTATTCACCAATTCGTGGTAGCTGAGGTAGATCCCAGGGCTCGATCCCTAGTTCCCCAACTTACCTGTGTACAATACCTGCGTCAACTCGAAGAGTTGAACCTGCAACGCCAGTGGTAGGTCGGTCTGTCGTAGGTCTATAGGTAGCCAGGATTCGATCCGTAGACCTATAGACTAGAAGGCTAGCTGCAGTCCTTCTAGAAGGTTGGCAAGTGGTCAAGTGGTGCAGGCAAGTGGTCAAGTGGTGCAGGCAAGTGGTCAAGT